TTTTTTGTGGTTATTTTACCGTTTCATAATATTTATTATTTTATTTATTAATTTTTTTTCTAAACATCTAAATCTATAAATTCTAAATAAATAATAAAATTCTGTTTTATGTACAAAACAATTCAATACTTTGTACTCCTATTTAATTTTTTTCTATAATTTTTTATTACATTTTTAGCATGACAGTAACATGTCAAATAACAATTACTTTAAATGGATTAAATTCTATATTTTAAATAGAATAGAATAGAAGAAAAAATGAAAAACAAAAAAAAAATCAGAAATTTTCTATTCGAAAAGTTTCTATATAGATAGAATAAAAATAAATGAAAATAGAATTAGAAAAATCTTTTGTGTGTTGTGTCAAAATTTAGAAAAAATAAAGAACTAAAAAAAAACATGGTAACATTTAATAGGTACTGAATAAGATAAGAAAAAAAAATTAAAACCAAACTTCAATTTCATGTCAATTTTAAAATAAATACGAATAGGAAAACATAAAAGAAACTATGCGACTACCTAAAAAAAAAACAAGACAGTCAAAAAACAAAGGAAAAGCTGCAAGCGATATGAAAAAGGAATTTTTGTTGTAGCCAAATAGTAGTAGAGTTGTACCCAGAGCTACCAAAAGTATATATTTATCTTCAACATGAAGGTTTTTTTTTTAAGTTTTTTGTGCAAAACTTCAAAATTCAAAAATATCTTCAAAATGAAGGTTTTTTAATGCTACTGAAGTTTTTCAAAATTGGAATTTTTTGCACCTTATTCCACTTTTTCCAAAGTTTATAAAAAAACATTTTGACCAAAAAGTCAATTTGATAGGCAACACAAGGTAACGTTATTATTAATTCTAACGTTATATTTAATTCTATATTAATCGACTTGGCGCAATAACTAAATCCGCATACAGTTTTGAACATCATATGCCATTTTCCATGTCATAAATTTTTCTTTTTGATACCTGATTTGGTTTGAATTTAAATCGAGATATTTAGACTTCCTACTTTTTTTTAATTAAGATTTAATTGAAGATCTCGAAGAGTTCATGAAAATTTTTTGTTATCGAATCTTCAAAATGAAGATTTTATTTAAAAAAAAAAGAAAGGTATTTGGGCTAATCTATTTGGCAGCACTGGTTGAACTACACCTTGTATATGTGTGTTTGTGCATATAAAAATTTTACAAGTAGTTTTGTAATAAATTTTTGAAGTCAATCAAATTTTTTAACTACCTTAGATATTAAAATTTTTTTTCTTTCTTTTATTTATTTTTAATTTCGTTTGTTTGTTTATTTATTTTTCTATATGATTTTTATTATCTTCACTTTATTATTCTATAACATATTAATATGTATATATTATTATTACTATTGTTTCTTATATATAAATACTTATTATAAATTACAATATAACATACAGGTACATGTAGAAAATAATTTCAAAATTTAATACTATACATACTTTAATACAAACACATATATATATATACTATAATATTATAATTAAATATTAATTTAATTTACACATTTACACATTCACATTAAGGGAAAATAATAATGTAGCCTGTGTGAACAAATAAAAAATGAAGATAGTAAATAATGGAATAATAAAGAACTAAGTATATGTATATAGAAAAAAAAATAACATAATATAACAGTAATAATGGCAATAGAACAAATATAATAATAATATAAGTATAATAAAATAATAAGCGCATAATAAAAATAAAAGAACACCTTTTACTTTATACAGAATGCATAATGTAGAGTCTAAAAAAATATTCGGAGAAGAAATAGAGAGAAAATATACACAGTTAATATGGTAGAAGAGCAACAAAATTTATATGGAATACCAATTAGAATATTATAATATATGTATTTTTAAAAAAAAATTATAATTAATTATTATAAGAAAAGAACATTTGTAAAACTCATTGTTTTAACCTCAATAATAAGAGTAAAAATTTACTGACAGAAATCAAGGAATTTTGCAATTGAATGCCGACATTTTTCTTAACTATTTGTACAAGAAATTTAAAATAAATATTCAAGTCTTCTGATATATCATAAATTTAACCCTTTTCTAAAATAACACAAAACACAAAAAAATTTCTATTTCTAAACACCAAGTTTAAAAAAATGTTAACAATTACAATTCTATATGAAAAAAGAACCCCTCCTTAACACAAGTTTAACGCATACAAACAAAAATTTATTCCTTTCAAAACAAACATCAAACTCTCAATAAAAAACCTAAAAACATTCACACGTTTTCCTAATAGTCAAAAGAAAATTGAAAACTGTTCTCAAAATTATTATTTCCCCTCTAAGTTTTGAAAGTAGTTGTGTTCTACTACACTGTTATACATGACTTTTTTAAGTGAGTAAAAAAAATTAGTTGCATTTTAACAAAATATTTCATGCTACACTCAGGCTAATGTAGAGAGTTAAGTAAAGAGAGTAGAGAGAAAAAGTATCAAAAAATTTTTTAAAATCAAAGAAAGAATAAAAATAGAAAACATAGAGCAGAGTAAAACAAAATTAAAAGAAAATGAGAAAAAAAATAATCAAACAATCGGATTGGTTGTGTATACGAAAAGCATATAAAGAAAATTCAAAATAATTTTTTTTTTGTTTCACTCACACTTCAACTAAATAATCTTGTAATGGATTAGTATTAGTTTAAATCAAATTATACAAAATATATGTGATATATAAAATGTAAGTGAAATATTATTTTGCATTTGCATGTGTGTATGAAATATAAAATATATAATATTCAGTTTTTGAATACTACATTTTGTAAATGAGTGTGAGTGTGTGCGTTCTAAGAAAAAAGTCTTAAGATATTCGCATTATCGTTTTTATTTATTTGCGTATTGGTTTATAATACAATTACAATATAATTAAAACACAATTATATAGTGTACACTTTTATTATATTTATGGAACACACCTCCTTTTTTTTTCTATTTTATACTTTGTTCTCTTTATTATCTTCATTTCTTCTATTTTCTGTGTATACATTATCACTTTTCTCTTTTATTCCCATTATTTTCATTGTATAATAATAAACATTTATGAAAGAAAAAATTAAAATAATTGAAAACTGAGAAAAATTTTTCTGGAAAATAGAAAATACTTTCGATTTGTATGCTTGTATACTTAGGTATTTATAAATAATTATATTAAATAAGTATATAAAAACTCTCTTTATATACCTGCCTCTTATTATTATTAAATAAATAAATAATAATTAAATAAGAATATTACAATAATAACGTATAAGAAACAAGTATATAGAAAAGACAATAATTGCAGGATAAATAATATAAGGAGTAAAAATGATAAATTGATCGTTTTGTACTTATTGTGGGGTATATGTATGGTCTTATTGAATTAAAACCCTTCCATACCCCGGGTATGTAATCTATAATCTCACATATTTTTAGATTAAAATATTGGACAATGTGCTAAGTATATTTTTAATTTACTATATGTAATTAAAATTTTACATACTCAAATCTCACTGAGTTTCTCATATATCAGTGCATTTACATCAGATACACATATTGCAAGAAACCAAAACGACTGTATAATGTATACATGTTACATATCAAAATATGCGATTTGCATTCTCTACAAAAAAATATGTAAGTATGTATGTATGTAAAATTATGTATTAATATCAAAATATGTATTTATATCTAACTTCTTCTTTGTATCAATAAACTCTATACTTAGTATTTTTTATTTTCATCTTTTATTCCTATAATTTTTTTTGGTGCTGTTGTTGTTGTTTACTTTTATATTTATTCTTTCTTTTTTCTTCTTATTCTTTACCTATTATACGTTTTTTATTCGTTCATCTGGTCTTTAATTGTTTTCGTATTTGTTTTTTTTGTGTTCAATTTTATTCTTCTTCTTCTTCTTTTCAATCGAACAATCCATTATATTTCGTTCGTTCATTCGTTTCATTTCATACGCAACAAAAACAAAACACAATATTGTAAAAAAGAAAAAAAAAAATGAAGAAACACAAAAGATATAAAATAAAACTCCTCAATATACAACTATTTTTCGATTGGACCATTGTAAAAAATTTTTATTTATGCTTTTTGTCTTCTTTCTTTTTCTTTTATATTATTATATTGTGTGTATTGCATTTGTCTCTTTTTATTCTATTTTATTTCTGCTATTTAAATGGATGTGAATCAAATGAATCTGAAAAATAACCAAATGAAAAAAAAATAAAAACAACACATTTTTCATTTTTTTATTTTTTTTATTTTTGAGAGAGAAACGAAAAATAATGGTTTTTGATAATAAAATACAAAAGGCTATAGTGTAGTCGTATTTCACTTTATACGAGGAATAAAAAAAAAAGAGCGAAAAAAAAAGAACCGAAATATACTCAGAAGAACATAAAACGTAAAAGAAAGAGGAGGAAAAAAACGGTATAAATGCCTTTATTTAACATTTTTGTTTCACGTCTTTCTTTTAGGTAGGAAAGGAAGAATTCCTTTTTTAAAATCATTTATTTATTATTATTTCTATTTTTTCTCTCGTTTTCTTGTTCTTTTTTCTTTTTTTGGAAAAGCCAAAGTAGAAATACACAGTAGACTGTATAATATAAAAAAAGAAAAGAAGAAGAAGAATAGGATAAAAGTAGAAATAAAAAACTTTTAATTTAACAACACTAACAACAACCAAAACCAACAACAGCAACAACACAACATCAATTATGCTCATAATAACTGAAGAATTGAAGAATGAAGAGAAAAAATGAACACAAAAAAAACAAAAAAACATACAAAAAAAAATTAATACACATTAAAACGAGAAAAAACAACATAAAACTCACAAAAGGAGAAAAAAGAAACAGAAAGAATTACAAAAATAAAATAAAAAAAACTACATTATTATTTTATCTGAATTTTTCAGGTCAGTCATAGAGTTACATTTGACGAGTTAACACGTTTCGAGTTCCGTTACAATTAAATACAATTATAATAATAAAAGAAATAATTTAATAAATAATAAAAAAAAAATTTAAAATAGAATTCAAGAAAAAAAAATTCACATATAATAAAAAAAAAAGTGAAAACAATTATTTTTCTATTTTTGCTTTGCTTTCGGGAAAATTAAAGCAAATTGTTTGAATTGAATCGTTTTCAATGAAAGAACAAGGAAAATAAAAAACAAAATAAGAAATCAATTATATTTACTTAAAATATCTATTCTATATTATTGAAAAATTATTCCAATAATAATAAACAAATTTAAATAAACGATATAAAAGAATTGTTCTTCAACAAATACACAAATAAAAAAATTAGTTGAAAAAAAATTGAAAAAGAAAAAAAAAAAAAATCTAGAAAATGTAAAAATATCAATTTGTTTACAAAAATAAAATATTTAAAGAAATTGTTATTAAAACATTAATTAAATAAACAAACATAAAAAAAAATTATATTAATTAAAAAAATATATAAAATCTTTACAAAATTAAAACGTTAAATTATAAAATTAACAAAATTGATCCAAATCTATATAAAATGGCCACCCTTTCAACACATCCACATTATGGATTTCAATTATCCGGCGGGTTAGATATACCAACACCAGGTGATTATGCACCACAACCAACAATTAGCCCATCAGAAATTGGTATGAAACGTGCTATGCAATTTTCACAACAAGGCAGTCTTGCCGCTATTTCAGCTGCAATGAATGGACATGGTTCACCAAATGGTGGACATACCGGTGGCAGTAGCGGTAATTCAATTATGGGAACTGCAAGTATGGGTGGACATCATCATTCACCAACAAATCCACATCATCATCATCATCAACATTCTGGTATACATTCAACATCACCCGGTCAAGACGGTCATATTAAAAGACCAATGAATGCATTTATGGTATGGTCAAGATTACAACGACGTCAAATTGCAAAAGATAATCCAAAAATGCATAATTCTGAAATATCAAAACGTTTGGGTGCCGAATGGAAATTATTAACTGAATCAGCTAAACGTCCATTTATTGATGAAGCGAAACGATTACGTGCATTACATATGAAAGAACATCCAGATTATAAATATCGACCACGTCGTAAACCAAAAAATCCATTACAAGGTGGTCCCGGTGGTCAAGGTCTTAATGGTATGAATAATAATAGTAAATCATTGAATGCTGCTGCTGCTGCATATAATCCATTTCATCAATTACCACCATATTTTGCACCATCACATCCATTAGAACAACCATATCCAGTACCATATTTTGGTGGTTTTGATCCATTAGCCTTATCAAAATTACATCAAACACAGGCTGCTGCTGCAGCTGCTGCACAAAATCAACCACAAAATGCATTAGAAGCACAAAAAGCACCACAATTACCTCCAACAACATTGAGTAGTTTTTATTCAGGAATATATAGTGGAATGACAGCACCATCATTATATGCTGCCCATTCGAATGGTATTTATAATAATTCAACATCATCATCAGCATCACCGGGTTCAAGTCCAGGTGGTACAATACCAAGTACAACACAAGGTATGACAGATGTTATGGATAGTGCGTTAAGAAGGCCGGTTCCTGTTCTTTATTAGAATGTTGTTTTTTTTTTTTCCTAATTTTATTCTATAATTTTTTTTTTTTTTTAGTTAAGTGTAGGTTTATTATTATTTTGATTATACTTAAATATACCTAAGCATTAATATCCAAGAATTTTTTTCTTAAATTTTAGTAAAAACAAAAAATAAAATTGTTATTTAAAGTATTTTAATTAAACATTTTAAATTGTTTGAAAATTTAATTTTTTTTTTGCTAAAATATTGTCATTCAACAAAATAATATATGGATAACATAATTAGCTTTTGAGTTATTATAGTTCAAATGATGTTAAAAATTTAAATTAATTATATAAATGAAAAGAAAGTACATAATATTAAAATTTATTGTAGTAAATTAATTACATATTAATTAAACACGAATAGACGAAAGTATAAAATATAAAAAAAAAAAAACATAAAAATTATATAGAAAAAAAAAGTACCAAATTTACAAAATAAAATCATTTAATTATTTCAAGCAAGATATTAAATATAAGTACTTACATAATACTTAATTATAATTATTGTAATTTAATTTAAATTATTAATTATTATGTTATCAGGACTATAATGTAATAATTATTATATATATATATATATTATAAATTATTATATAATATAAAATCAAACAAGAATTTTAATTTCTTGTTAATTAAATAATTAAAATAATTTTACATTTTAAGTGTTATTTGTATAATTCTATATATATATCATAGTATGTTATGTAAAAGATCTCTATATATTATTAATAAACACAATTATAAATGTATGTTATATACAATAATTACTTTAACGTATATATAAATTATAATATATAAAATGAAAAATAAATAAATTTAGAATTTTCTTTAAATAAAAAAAAAAAAACATTGGCCAGTTATTTAAAATTATAAATTTTTTTTTTTATAAATAAAAACATTTTTTCTAAATCTTATATATTAATTAAATAAAATTTAAAATAATTTTATGCAGTGTATAGGAAATAAAATATTTCAATGATAGTATTTAGACTATAAGATGAGACCAAAAAAAAAAAGAGAATTGTGACAAAAATGTTTTTTTCTTCTAAATAATATGGAAAATTTATAAATACATTCAAAAACATTTTAATTGTAAATATAGATATTTTCTTTAAAAATTGATTTTTTTTTATTTTAAAATGCGATTATAGGAGAAATCCCGAAAATCTGAACAAGTTCCTTACCTAATTTGATATTGTTTGTGATTCTTGTAACTGAACTTTTCTGGTATTCCATTCATTTATGTATTAATACCAGTCCGGATTACGAACAGAATGATATTTCAAATTCTGAGTCACAATATTATAAAACATTTCCCTGATCATTTTCATATACATACATGCAAAAGGGAGCCACTTAATATTTCAAATTGAATTCATTCCGAAACACAGTCGTAGTCTTATTTAAGTCACAGTTACAGTTGTAGTCTTATTAAAATTCTGCGGTCAACTCTATTTGATTGTGGCTGTTGCAACATAAATTTCATTAGCATTTTGTATAATATTTTCTCAAGAAATTACTATTTATTTTACATAATATTTCTTGCCAATTTTTCAAATCTTTATTTCCCCTATTTGTCAATATTATTGTTTCATACAAATTTTAGAAATTCTAACTATTCGCAGTTTATTATAATTCATTATTTAAAATTTTTTTGAGAACAAAAAAATATTAACCTAAATTATAAGAAATTTTCAAAAAAAAAAAAAATATTTGGACCCATTTTCTTAAAAAAAAAAAGAGAATTTTATTTAAAAACACAGACAAAAAAAACAAGTTCAAACGACCTCAAAAAATTTTTTATATACGAGTAGCATATTATAAAAGAATATTGTATTCAAAATATATTTTCCATTTGGATTAGAATAAAAATATCGAAAAATATTAATTATATCAAAAACAAAATATTGAAAAAAAAAAACAAAATGTCTTTAACATAAGTTTTAAAAAAAAATTAAATAATTAAATTGTAAATTTTAAGTGATAGCATTTAAATTTAAATAATAAAATACAAATAAGAATTTAAATAATAAATTAGACAAAGAATTATAAGAAAAAGAATATTAAAAAAGACATGTGAGAACAAAATCTGTAAATAAAGAAGTTTTTTTTTTTGTTTTTTTAAATTGAAAAAAAAAAATGGTGTTTATTTTTCATTATTTTTCTTCGTTACTTAAAACAATAAATTAATTCTATTAAATTCTTTATAGATGGCATGTGTACTACAAAAATATTTGATACCCATGTTATTTGTATGATCAACTTAAAAAAAATTAAATAAACATTTTTTAATTTACCTACATGAGCTATTGTTGTTTTGACTTTTTTTATAAGTCACAAATAAAATTTTTTTTTGGTTTTTTGTCAGTGTTGTTGATTAGCAAATTGTTTTTTGTGTCGTCATCAAATATAATAGTTGATTATTATAAAAATTGTCATATTAATAACAATAAATATTATGGGATTTTGTAAGTATAATTGAAACATCATAAGTGCTTACTTGGTAACATGGAAAGATGTACAAGAATTTTTTTGAATTAAAATTAATTCTATAGCAAAAATTCTATCATTCATTGTATAAGACCTTTAAGTATAATAAATTCTGCAGAAAATAATTATGTTTTGTTATCTTTTATACTACAATCAGTAATTATTTGATAAGAAAATAATATGACGAGAAGACAATCGAACTGTGCAATATGAAGAGCATTCATTTTGTATATAGATGGCATCTGTTAACAATTTAATGAGCTTGTTAGTGAAATATCACTTTTTAGCAATTCGTTACATAGATTTAAAGTACCGCACCAAACAGTACATTTAAGTGAGTGTAATTGGCGCTGATGTACTGCTCGTGGGTTCTCCGTCGCCCATATTCTGCAGTTTTGCTTATTAACAAAACCATTTAATTAGAAGTGAGCTTCATCACTCATTATCAAATTGTGTATGAAATTTGGATTTTCTTCTGCTTTTTGTTGGAAAGAAATGGCATAATCATGCCTTTGTTGATAGTCTATCGGCTTCAACTCTTGCACAAGCTGAATTTTATATGGGAACATGCGTATTGAGGCCAAAATTCTCTGAAGGGATCTTCGTGATAGTCCCAGGTGTGTCGAACGTTTCCTTGTTGATGTTCCTGGATTCTCATCTACACTGTTGACTACACGTTCATTATTTTCCTCCGTTTGGACCGTACGCGATCTTCCACGAATTTGTACTTTTCTTACTAATCCATTTTCTTCAAAATGTCTTACCGGGCGGTTTATTGTTGCTGCAGAGGGCAGATTCCGCACATTGAAATATCGCCGATATGCTCGCCGAGTTAAAGTAACTGACCTGTGATTTTGATAGTAAAATTCTATGATTTTTGTTCGTTGCTGCGTTGTGTACTGCTCCATTATAAATTTGTCAAGCCTTGTTTTAAAAGATTCGGAAATAAAAAAAAATTAATAAATAAAAAAGTTATCAAGAATTCAAAACATACCTTTTTTGCGCCACCCTGTATATGGCTCTATCTTGATTTGCAAGAAATTTTAAATAAATTAAATATTTTGTAATTGATTTTTTTTTAAATAAATTTTAAAATTTACATTTACAATTTTTCTATATTATGCATAATTTCCGTTATATAATGCAGCCTATGGTTTGCATAACAAATTTCAGAACAATTAATAAAGTAATTTTATCAATTTTCAGTGTCATGTCAACTATATTTTAATGTCAACATTTTTAACATTTTGTTTTTGTTGAATTTTAATTCAACTTATTCAAAAATCAGCATGGACTGCAAGTTACTGTAGCAGGATTAAAGTATAACTATATAGGTAACAGAATTGGGATATCGAAAAATACTATACCAAATTTTAATGTATTTTGTATGTACAAACCCTTTATTTTTTATGCAAAAAATATTCGAAAAACTTTTTGACTTCTCACTACTTTATATAAACCTATTCCAGAATGAAGTCTGTTACAAGAATTGGATAACTATCAAAAGTCTTAAAATATAGAATTCGTAGTAATAGAAAATTTTGCTTCACTGCAATTATTGCTAAAATTACAGTCGTACATCGCTCCAATAAATATTCGGCTCAATATTTTTATGTTATGTGCTAATTGTTATTGAGTTTATAGTGTAATCTGGATCCGGATCTCAATAACGCATACATTTCGGGTCCGGATTCCAATAAGAGTACGAAAGTCCATGTACCATAAATTTATTTTATCAATTATTCAAATTAATATTTGAGCCGACGGGATTTTGTTTCTTTTAAAAATTGATTTACATATAATTGTTACGTCTTGTATTTTGAAGTTGCCAGTTGTTTTCTTATAAGATGAACGTGTGTAATATTGAATTCATATTCTATATATGTATATATATGTAGAATATAGGTACGAGTATAATATGCAAGGGGTACATTTAAACAGTTGCCAATATTATTGAAAAACAAAAAAAAAAAGAATAAAGGTGAAAAAATTAAAATAAAAAAATAAAAATTTAAAACCGCAGTAAAGCACCTAATTAAATTCATTAATTAGTTAACATTTTTTTTTTTTGTTTTAATATTTGTGTTGCACATTGTTTTGTTTTTAAATAAAAAATAAATTCATATTTTGTTTTTTATAAGAGTTTTAATGTGTTCGAATCGTAATAATTATAAAAAAAAAAAAATTAAATGTTATTTGCAAAATTTTTATTATTTTTATTCTCATTTATTGTTGTTTAAATTATTGTTGTAATAAATGCAAATACCGAATATTTAATAATGTAAAATGTTCCAATTCTTGTCGAAATAATGAGAAGAACAATGGCAATTTATAAAACACTAAATTAATAATAGATTCCAATACAATTATATAGAAAAATGATTTGCATTATAAATTATACAAAAACTAGAACATATTGCCATTTTTTGTATTATTATTGAATTACAAAAAATTAAATAAATATTTTATTTATCTTAATTTAATTGTAATACAATGTTAAAATATCTACATAATAGAGAATACAAAAATTATGTGTATTTCGTTGCTCATTAGAATTTAGTAATTATTGTAAAGGGACTTCGAGAATATTTCTTACTGGATAGGTATTGAATAATTTCTACTTAGTAATTAAATACTGATAAATTGTTAGTGTAATGAATAATTAAGTAATTGAATAGTTGAAAGACTGATTAAAAATTGCTCTAATTTAATCTTATTCTTTAAAATCAAATTTTTTGTTGCCCGTAACACTGAATTTTAATCTTCCATTTACCCATATGGGATTATCCACAAATGTTATTTCTTCAATA